TTTCGCTGCTTTTCCTATAAGTACCTACCTTCTTCCCCTCTCCCTACTTTCTGCACTTACAGAATTCTCAAGCTTTCTTCTCCCGGCAATTACAATGTTGTAAACTTCTTCGGCGTTCATTCTTTTCCGACCACCTTCTCGGACTCTTCGGACTATTCAGGCCAAGTCATCATGTTTAAGTTCTCTTTTCTTTTAATTTCTTGTTGTGTTATGATGCTATCACTTTTTTTTGTGAATACTCCATTTTTCCGGGCGCTGCATCCGGATTTCATAAGGGTTCTTCATGTTCCTCTTTTTCTTATGTTCAAATAATTTTCGATGATTTTTATCGCTGGATCTTTAATCGTGAATTCCTCATTTCCCTATGTGTTTTCATTCATCGGTCGACTTGATATGAGAAACCGACTTTTCTGCTTCTCTGCGGGTTAATTATTCATCGACTTGACTTTCTCGTGTCGAGTCGAGTGAGTTAGATATAACTTACGAGTTTTTCTCGATCTTTCCTTTCTTTTGTGCCTTTGTCGAATTGATTTGTGCGCTTCCCTCTCTTCTTCATTGATTTGTCATTATTTTTTTCATGGGGTCAGATCGCGGTTGTAATTATCTTCGTCTATTGATTGACGCTCTCTCTCCCCCCCTCTTTTTTTAGATTCTGACTCCACCCCTGTTTTCGACCCTGTTTCCGGTTCTCTTGCCCATGAAATCGACGATTATTTTGGTTCTGACTCTGTGCAAATAATCGCTGTCGGATCAAGTATCGACCCACATATCGAGCCATAGAGTTCTGCTCATTCTACTACCTCGTCTTTCATAATCGACTGGGACGCGTATAATTAAGCGTGGCTATCCGGCACGTTAAATGAAGACCCTGAAGCTCCTCGCACCCTAGGATCTTCTCGACTTAGCCTAATCCCTCGAGGTATCCCTACTGTTAGATATCCCCGTATATAGAACAAACCCTATTCGTTCGTTAATAATAGTTCCTTTAGTCGAGCCATGTGACTGTAGCATGTTCTGTAATAAAGTTAGAGCTGCTCTTAATCTTTTTTATTATCTGCAACCGAAATTGATGGCTTTAGGGAATACAGTGGTCTTCCCTCCGACTGGGAGTTGGTTGCTACGACCTCTTCTGAAGACTTCCAGCACCCTCCTCACGGCTGTTTTACCTTCTTTGTTGATCAAATAATGTCGGGATTACGCTTCCCGATTCAGCCCGAGCTACTGTCTTTGAGCAGCCTGTATGGAGTTCCCATAAACCAGTTCACTCCTAACTCTATCTGAATAATGGTGGCTTTTATAACAATCACCATAACAGTTCTAGGCGACTTCGTACCCGAGTTTTTCCTTTATTGCTACGGGTATAGGTTTAGCAAAGACGCCCACTGTTTAGGTCGCCGCGTGGGTGTGTCTCTCCTTGATGACCTCTCTTCGAATATTACCGAATGGAAAAAGAAGTACTTCTTCATTCGACCTGCTCCTAGTCAATATCCCTTCTCGAATGAGTGGATTACCAGCAAGACCGAGCAACGCAAACGCCCCAAGTCTTCGCTGTTTGCGGGCATGTTGAGGGAATTGAAACACCCGAAGTCTTCCCCACAGACGTTGCCAAAATGTTGGGTCTTCTCTCAGATCTGGAGTGAATCGGTGAAAATAAGCTCAAATCTGAAATGAGCTGATTGAAACGAGCTCAGATCTGTCTGAATCGCCTTCGAATCGTTGCTAGTCCACGAGAACACCTACAAAAACTCAATGCTGGAGGGGTTTCCGGCGTAGAGCCTCCGACGCTCAAGTCAGTAAGACAGAGAGACGGAGAGAGCTTTTCTGAAGGAGCAACAACTATGGAGGAAAATATGGAATGAATGAGAGTTAGGATTTTGGGGTTACCTCAGCTCCTTTATATAGAAACAAAACATCTACCTGAAGTTCCCAAAATGCCCCGGCTGACTTACTGGAAATATCCAGAATGCCCTGGTCGGTTCGCATTCCGTCCCTCTCCTAGTCAGCATATAGATTCCCTCTTATCCTTAATAGTTTCCTTATGATAAGTTGAAGTACACCGGAGTCTTCAGAGATCTATGAGCCTCGAGACGCCCTCAGTCGACTCGGGAAATAAACTCTAGTCGATAGGGTCATCCTCAATCGTCAATAGACCCTGATGCGCCTGTCCATCTTTCCGGAGGAAGTCGACTTATGCTAGTCACATTTGAAGGTTAACTGGAAGGGAGACGCCTGGAGCCTGACAGACCGGAGATAGCGCAAGCCCGTAGGAAGAGTCAACTTCAGATAAGTCGACTCGATAATGTCTAAACCGTTATACGACAGTATGGCTATATCAGAGTATTTTTGTGGTCGCGAAACATTGGATGGAAGCTCACGCGATCAGTTATCGTAGTTAGCCCAAGACACATTAATTAAGCCCACTTGCTGACATTAAGCCTAAGTGTTTGGCCAATTGAAGACTCCAATTAATGAAGCACTCACGCAAGTAAAAAGAAAAAAATTCATTCAGGGTCAAGTGGATTTATTTGAAGGGCAATCACTTTTTATTGGAGGAGTTAGGGCGTGATTGTTTATGAATTCTAAAGTAAATATCTCATTCAAAACTCAAATTTAACTCAACATTAACTCAATTCCACTATCTCCAATATTATCAATATAATTAAATAATATCAACCAATCATTATTACACATCACATCAACTTTAATTCACTATTCATCCACTCATAAAATTTTAACTAACCATCATTTTCAATCATTTTCTCTTACTTTTACATTAAGGCCCCGTTTGGAAGATAGCGGATTGAAGATAAATTAGCGGATTGGACTTAATTGAGAGGTTTGACCCGTCTAATCCGCTATTGAGCATGTTTGGTAAATAGCTTATTTGAGGAGCTTTTTGATGATAGAGGATTCACAATCTACTATTTTAATTTGTATTATTTATTTTACAATCTACATTGATTTATGGTGCTAATAAATAATAATATGTCATCCATATGATTAATTTATCTAGAAAAATGTAAAATTCATAACTTCTTAATCAAGTCTTAGTAAATTTTTTTAAAAAAAATAACATACTTATAAATTACCAACTAAAGATATTAAATGTTTTAATATATTATTATTAAAAGAATACACCCTAAATAATAAAATGTACTTATTGGTAATTTGTAATGTCAGAAAGTTATAAGCTTTCAGCTATTTACCAAACACTTATTTAAAAAAACTGCTAATGCAATCCGCTGGTCAAATCAGCTAATATAATCCGCTAATACAATCCGTTATCCGCTATCCGCTGATAGCCAAACAATCTAAAAATATTCAAAAACTCGTATTGTTTAAGTATCAGAGTCATATTTACAAATAACAATTAAAAACTAAAAATTTGGATAATGATTTTAAAATCAAAAGTTTGAAAATATGAAGTTCTAAGTTGAATAGTGCAATAATCATATTATAAAAAAGTTATAAACATATTATAAAAAGTTACTTATATTCATTAAATGTTGCAATAATCTTCTAATATACCAAAACATAAAAAAAAAACAACAAATTGCTCATTTGCCAATTTTGTTTTCAAAACAAATCTTCTAGTATGCCATATATAAACTATGAATGAACATTGAAAACATAAAAAGAACATCGATTCACAAACTAATTTGTACATAACTAATATGCCAAACATAAACTAAAATGTACAATAACTGTACATATCCCTAAGATGTACATATACCTGACATATACTGTCTATACACGCTACATATACTGAAACATAGAACGAACACTTTGTTAGGAATTTATCTGATATCTAAGTTCTAACAAACAAGTAACGGCAAACAACAAAAGAGGTTCGACTCGAGTAGGAAGCACCAGTACTCCCCGTCTTATTTTCTGGATGTCCGAGGAGGCCGTCGGAGCAAAATTGTGAAATTAGAAAACCATTGAACTTGGACCCAGTCTTTAGTTACTTCCCCTTCACAATCATAAATCATACGATAATGATTTTCACTTTTGATACCACAAACCTCACAAAGTGCTTCTCCAATTTTTCTCATTAGATAGCGAGGAGAAAACCACAGTCAAAATGAAAGAAAATTTTAGTAGATGAGGAATGCTCACCTACCTACGGTGGACATATATTAACGCAATTTGTTATTACGATATAAAGGCCTTCACCACACTCAAGCCTCCAATTTACTTCAAGTTGTCCATACATAAATTACAATATTAAATGGGGCATTTAAAAGTTAAAGCTACTTGCATCTTCCTTAACGCCATTACACCATCATTTGTTTGGAAACTGGACAGAAGCCAATCCGTACAACTACTTAAGGGAGACGACCAGATTTTGCCCACCCAAATCTTGCGCCCCATGGAAATTCAATAAAAAATAAATAAATAAATAAGTAAAACTGACTTCTCCAGACAGGCTAGACGAGCATGCATACACTCCAGTTACAACATTTTACATTTTATGATTTTAAGTCGGGCTGAGATTAATATTGTTGGTATCAAATTTGAGAAGAATTGAAATTTGTTAGAAAAAAATAAATGAAATTTGTTTAAATTGGAGAAGACCAGACTTTTTATGTAATCTGATTATCAATTCCTTTTCTTGCTTTTCTGCACACATAATACATCTATTTATAGCATTATGATCCTGTCATAACTAAGTAGGTACTTTAACAACCAACTAACAGCTTTAGACAATAAAAAAAAATTCTCTCTCTATGAGTGGCGATTCTCCAATGTCGGGGCGATATCAGCTTTATGCTTCCTCATCCTCAAAATTGGGGCTTTAATCTAGGTTATCAAGGTGTTCTCCCCTCTTTCTTCTCTATTGTCTTCGTTCTCCATGTCAATTTCAGAGCGCATTATTATATTCCATTTTTAGGGTCCCCTTTTTAGTTGTTTTTCATTTTTTCCTCGGGTCTTCCTTCTCTTTTGTTTGTGTGTTGTTTTCTTGGTCTAGGGTTTCCTTCATCTTCGCATTAGCCGAGCTCTGAGTTCATGGCAGACGATATTGCGAGTAAGCTTTGCTCGTTCCAGCTATCGGACAGAGAATCTTCGGCCATTGATATAGCCTCAGCTGACATTAACCTCAGTGCAGCTGATTGCTCGCGCAGTTTAATGGGGAAAATTATCAGTCAGAAAAGAGCTAACCTCATCGGGCTCCGTCGGGCTGTTACTCAAATATGGCACACCAAAGGACCAATTACAGTCAAAGAAATTAGCCCAAACTTCTTTCAATTTGTCTTCTCAGATGAAGCTGATAAAACCAAAGTGAGCAATGGTATAGGTTGGGCATTTGAAAATCAGTTCTTGGTTCTTCGAGACTGGAAGGAGGATATCTCCCCTGAGAATCCAGAATTTTCGGAGATGGATATGTGGGTTCAAGCCTGGAATTTGCCTCTCAACTGGGTGTCAACAGAGGTTGGGCTCAAAATTAGCAAAGCCTTCCAATCTACAAAAGATGTCCAGATTCCTCAGGGAGGATTTCTTGCGGGCAAATGCATCAGACTGTTGGTTTCAGTCGACCTCACTCAACCCATGCTCAGATGTGCTAGCATAAAACTTGAATCCAAATCTCTGCTGGTGCATTTCAAATATGAAAAACTAATTAGTCTTTGTTATTATTACGGGATGCTCGGACATATTGATAAAAATTGCAATAAAAGAGCTATTGATATATCTGATGGGACTCTGAAGGAGGGTCTCTATGGAGACTGGATGAAAGCTCAGGAATTTCCCTACTTTGCCTCCTCAAGCCTCGTTGCTACTTCTTCCCCATTTAATCACTTCAGTTCCCCAAGCCAAAGAATATCCATTAAAGGTAATAATCCTATTGTCAACTTAGCCCAATCCACACCAGCCCCAAACTCCCCAAATCCCTCAGATTCCAATCATGTCAGTCCTTCCCAGGCTAAACTCTCAGAACCCATCCACACAGATTCACCTCCTGATAACTCCATACCTTTTACATCCCATATCCATCTTATGGAATGTGATAAACCCATAAACCACTCAAAACGTAACCTAATCTCAAACCTAATCCCAAACACAACCTCTACCCAGATACATAATCAAGCCTTTCAGGAAGACAACATCATTCACCCCTCAACCACAACATAACATAACCTCTACCCAGATACATAATCAAGCCTCTCAGGAAGACAACATCATTCACCCTGATCCACCATTGCAAACCACTTCTACCTCATTCCAGCCACAACATTACTCCTCAAACTTCCAATCATCCCAGACATCTACCAACAAATGAAGAAGCTGGAAGAGACATCAAAATGCAAGTTCTAAGCAGAATGCAGGAACTCCCCCACCTAGATCAGCTGGTGGCAAGAGAAACATTCAAAGTGTAGTTGAAGAGGAAGAAGAATTGCTTATCATGTCCCAGGAGCAACCTTCACACCTAAGCAAGAAAATTAAGCTTAATCTAACAGAGGTGAAAGTGGCCAGCCTTCCAGGGCCACAATATGATCAATAAAGGTAGCGGTGTAGAACTGTAGAGGTGCGGGTGGCCCCTCTACGGTTTCCCAAATCAAGGAGACATGGAGGCTCCATCACCCAAATTTTCTATTTCTCTCGGAAACAAAAAAAAAAAAATTCTGCAAACTATTTGTAATAATCTTAGGGTAGGTGACTGTTGGGATTCTGTTGAGCCGGTGGGCAGAAGTGGGGGTCTGTTTATATGCTGGAGTTCTGAAACCAAGGTCATCAATATCATCAAACACCCTTTCTGTCTTGAGGTGGAATTCTGGGATGATGACAAGGCAAGCATCTGCTGGGGCATTTTCATCTATGCCAGCACGGATAATCAAATTAGAAAACAGCAGTGGTCTCACCTTATTCTTGCTAAACCTAAGTGGGGCAACAATTGGTTTCTGGGAGGTGACTTGAATGATATCCTAATCCAACAGGAAAAGAAAGGAGGAAGAAATCGATCCCCCTCCTCATTCTTGCCTCTTCTGGATTTTGTCAGTAACATGGGTATGCTAGAGATTCCTATGGAGGGTCACCCATTTACATGGGGTAACAATAGAGATGCAGAGGGATACGTGGAAAAAAAGCTCGACCGGATCTTTGGCTCTCTTAGCTGGAATACCTTATATCCAAATGCCACTGTCCACAACATCTTCAAGAGTGCCTCAGACCACAGCCTTCTCATGTTAGATTGCACTTAAGGCCATATTCAGAAAAGGAAAAGATTTCTCTTTGACAGAAGATGGTTAACTCGTCAGGGATTCCAGAATACAATTGAGAGGGGGTGGAATAAAAGACAAGAGGGTACCCTAATGTTTCAATTCCAAGCCAAGATCAAAGAAACTAGGGTGGAACTTCTCAAATGGAGTAGCAATTTCAGATCAGAGAACTCCAGAAAAATTGCCAAGCTGCACTGTCAATTAGAAGATTTGAGAAAAAAAGGAAGCCTCATAGATTGGGAGCAATGGGATGGAATTAAAAAAAAGAGTTGAACTCAGCTTATAGATATGAAGAGCAATACTGGGAGCAAAAAGCTAGAGTGAGCTGGCTAAAGCATGGAGATAAAAACTCCAAATTCTTCCATGCCCAAACCATCCAAAGAAGAAGAAGAAATAAAATTTCCAAACTCCAAAAAGAAAACTCATGGATCTGTGAAGGCCAGGAGCAGGTTGCCAAATGCATTGAATACTACTATGCAAAATTATTCACTTCAGAGGGATCAGAAGAGGGAGAAAGACTGCTGCAAAACTTGAGTCCAGTGATTACATAAGATATGAACTCTGAGCTTGTGGCTACTGTGAGTGATGAGGAAATCAAGGAGGCCCTCTTCTCTATCAACCCCAATAAAGCCCCGGGCATGGACGGTATGACTTCTCTTTTTTTCCAGAATTGTTGGACTCTCATTCATAATGATTTATGTGCAGTTGTTAAAAGCTTCTTTGAATCTGGTAAACTTCTTAAAAGTATTAATCACACCTTGATCACTCTTATCCCCAAAACCAAAAACCTTGAAATTGTTTCCCACTTTAGGCCTATTAGCCTTTGTAGTGTTACTTACAAAATCATCTCCAAGTTGCTTGCTGCTAGACTTAAACCTTGCCTCCCTTTTTGCATAAGTGTTAACCAAGCTGCTTATGTTCCTAATAGGCAGATTATGGACAATGTTATTCTGAGCCATGAGATCATTCATCATCTTAATAGGCATAGAAGTGGTAAAAACTATTTGATGGCTCTGAAAATTGATATAGAGAAAGTTTTTGACACAGTCGAATGGAAGAGTGTGAGTCTCATCATGCTTAAACTGGGTTTTAATTCTATCTTTGTCAATTGGATCATCTCTTGCATCTCCTCAGCCTGTTTTTCCTTTAATGTTAATGGAGAATCATGTGGGTTTGTCACTCCTACCAGAGGAATAAGACAGGGGGACCCTTTGTCCCCCTATGTTTTCATTATGATTTCTGAGATCCTGTCTTTCCTTATCCATAATCACCCTGATAATCATAAACTGAAAGGCATCAAAATTTCTAAAAATGGACCCACAATCACCCACTTGTTCTTTGCGGATGACACCCTTCTCTTCACTAAAGCTGACCCTGAACAAGCCACTTCTTTGCTTTCCATCCTTAATGATTACCACAGAATTACAGGTCAAAAAGTCAATCTAAGCAAATCCTCAATCTTCTTCAGCAGAAACACCCCATCTTCAGTCAAAAATTCAATCTGCAACATTCTGCTGGGTATTGAACCCCAAAACTCCTCCAGATACTTGGGTTTGCCTCTTGGCATTGGGAAAAACAAATTTGAGACCTTCTCTTTCATTGTCCAAACAGTTGAAAAGAGAATTCTTAACTGGAAAAATAAGTTCTTGTCTAATGGAGGGAAAGAAGTTCTTTTGAAGGCTGTCCTTAATGCCTTGCCTGTTTATGCCATGTCTATCTTTTTGCTGCCTAATAAAATTTGTGCAAAAATTGCAAGTCTGTTTGCTTTATTCTGGTGGAAAACAGGAAATACTGGAAACAAGAGTGTGCACTGGAAAAGCTGGAAACTACTGACTCTACCAATTGACAAGGGAGGTCTTGGGTTCCATGATTTGCAACTCATGAATAAGGCCCTCATATCAAAGCAAATCTGGAGAATGCTAACCCAGCCCAACCTGTTAGTGAACAAATGCTTGAAAGCTAAATACTTCCCGGGTGACAACTTTTTCTCTGTCAATAAGAAGTACTCTGGATCATGGTTATGGCACAGCTGGTTAAAAGTGACAGACTCATTCCACAAAGAGTTTAGAATGGAAGTCAGGAATGGAGCCACTACCAAGATTTTTGAACATCCATGGATACCTGACTTACCTGGTTTCATCCCAAGATATAACAGAGACAGAAACATTGAAATCACCTGGGTGAAACAACTCATTGATGATACTGGGAGGCACTGGAATATGGAATTGCTACAGAACATTTTCTCCCAACAAGAGCAAGAAGCAATTTTGAAAATTAGGAATTTACAACCTGGGGAACCTGACAGATTGGTGTGGCATTGTGGCAAGAAGGGCAAACACTCAGTGGCTGATTCATATCAATACCTGATTAATGAGAAATGGAGGCAAATGGACAGACCAGAACATAGCAAAGATTAACAAAAAACCAGAAATGCCTTCAAGAAGCTATGGAAGATGAAAATTCAAAGGAAAATATCTCATTTCATCTGGAAATGCTTGAATAATGCACTGCCAGTGATGGAAAATCTAGCCAGAAGGGGTGTTAATGTCGACCCTCTATGTCCTACTTGTGGAGAAGCAGCAGAAACTGTGGAACACATGCTATTTTCCTGCCCCAAAACAGCATTGATCTGAAAGCTAGCACCTCTGACCTGGGATGGACCAAATATTTGGTGGTGTTATATACATAAGCTTTGCTTTAGTGGATATTACACTTGTTATTCCTTGAT